CAAGCTCAAAGACCACAGAGAATCAGACAAAAACCCAGAAGGTTTGCAGATTTTGACATGCTGCAGGATAATGACGTTGACTCTGAAGGAGAAGTCGTCCAGTGTGCCATGTTAGTAGATTCTGAACCAGTGGGCATTGAATAAGCCCTCAAGAAGAAAGAATGGCTTAATGCCATGAAAGAAGAACTTGAGGCAATAGAAAGGAACAAAACTTGGAAATTGACTAAACTTCCAGATAAGAAAAAAGCCATCAGCGTCAGATGAGTTTTTAAGTTGAAACTTAAGCCAGATGGTTCCATTGGCAAGCACAAAGCTAGACTAGTAGCTAGAGGTTTTCTTCAGAAACCTGGGCTAGATTATTTTGAGGTGTTTGCGCCTGTAGCTAGGCATGAAACAATCAGACTGGTGATTGCTTTAGCTGCAAACAGAAATTGGCCTTTAATGCATCTGGATGTGAAGTCAGCATTTCTGAACGGTCCATTACAGGAAGAAGTTTACGTGTCACAACCTCCTGGATTTGTGAAAAAGAATCAGGAAGGGATGGTATACAGGTTAAATAAAGCCCTGTATGGACTGAAGCAAGCGCCTAGAGCTTGGAATCTGAAAATTGATTCATTTTTCAAGAAGCAGAGGTTTCAGAAGTGTGAGATGGAATATGGAGTTTATGTACAACACTCTGATAGTAATATGATTCTGGTGTGTCTCTATGTTGATGACATATTGCTAACAGGTAGTTGCCCAGAAGATATAAAGAAGTTCAAGGAAGTTCTGATGAATGAGTTCGAGATGACAGATCTAGGAAAAATGACATATTTCCTAGGGATGGAGATTCTGTACTCGAAGAAGGGTATCATTCTGCACCAGTTAAAATATGAACAAGAACTTCTGAAGAGATTTAAGCTGAAGAACTGCAAAGTTGCCGTGACACCATTAGAAACCAATCAAAAATTGGATTCTGACTCTGATGGTGATTCTGTTGATTCTACAACCTTCAAACAGCTGGTTGGCTCTCTAAGGTATTTATGTAATACTAGACCTGACATTTGTTATGCAGTTGGATTGGTCAACAGATTCATGAGTAATCCCAAGTGGTCTCATTTCCAAGCTGCTGTCAGAATTTTGAGATATATTAAGGGAACTCTGAGATATGGAGTGTTGTTTCCTTCTGAAAGAAAGACAAAATCATAATTAGTAAGTTATTCTGATTCTGACTGGTGCGGAGACAGAGTGGACATGAGAAGTACCTCTGGATACTTGTTTAAATTTCTGGGAGGTCCCATTTCCTGGAGTTCCAAGAAACAGCCTATCGTGGCTCTGTCAACATGTGAATCTGAGTATATCGCATGTGCTGTAGCTGTTTGTCAAGCAGTTTGGCTTCTGAATCTCCTGCATGATTTGAAGGTTGAAGTTGAGGAACCTCTGAAGCTGATGATTGATAATAAGTCTGCAATTGATCTTGCCAAGAATCCAGTGCTACAATGAAGAAGCAAGCACATTGAGACGAAGTATCACTTTCTCAGAAGTCAAGTTCAGAAAGGAGTGTTAAAAATTCCGCACTGTAGCATTCAGAAACAGCTTGCAGATCTTCTGACGAAGGCAATTAAAACAGATCAATTTCTTCATTTGAGAGATGAAATTGGTGTTGTTAGTTTCTGATGGAATATCTAAATTAAGGGATGGCATTGGAAATGTAATTTAGTTAATGACTACAATTCCCGATGCTTATTCTTTATTAGGGCCTCTTGGCATTTTCATTTTTTTAGTATAAATATGCTACCTAGGCTATCAATATTGCAACTCAATTCATTCCTCTATTTGAATATTATGAAGTAGTCCTTTTTGTTATCATTCATTGTTCATTCTTCTTCTCTCTTTTTCATTACCTTGCACCAACATATTTGACACTTCTCACAATATTTAGACTATGAATCTATCTTTTTAGAAGGGAAGGCATTTGTCATTATTTTTTATAACCAGTGTAATTTGTATAAAAATATTAAAATAAATATGACGCGTGATTTATTTAAGTAATATTTTAATCTTATTTATTTATTTTAAGTAATATTTTAATCTTATTTATTTATTTTAAATTATAACGGTGTAGATTCATTATCATATTCTTATATAATATTACCATTCTCATATGTCTTATTATAAATATTTGGGTTTAATTTATAATCAATGATAAATATTGAGTCTTATTTTAATTTGTAATAAATATTGAGTCTTATTTTTAATTTGTAATAAATATTGAGATATAGTTATAAATATTATGTTAAGGTATAAATATAAATATTTATTTCTTTACCTATTACTTGAATAATAGGTCATTCATATTCAATCATAATCATTCAATTTATTTATTATTAAATTAATGATAGTTTTAGAAGTTCACCAAGATGAAGAAATAAATTAAGTTCACCATCCTGTTCTTCAATTTCTTTTTATTAAAAGTTGTGTTATTGAATATTTTATTTTTAATTTAAAAATATGTCACTTTCACCTATGTTTTGTTTTTCAATCGAAGTGTATTTGTTTCTGTGATATATATAGTTTTAGCATGTAACTCTAACGAAGTGTATATGTCACTTATTTAAATAATACAAATATAACTCTAACGAAGAATACTTAACAAGAGAGCCAACAAGATAACGTTAAACAACAAGAGTCATAAACACATATTATCTTCAATACGTACATGATATGTATTTAGGACTCTAGTTTCTTCTTCAAAGATTCAAATTACTTCCTTTTTGTTATCATTCATTGTTCATTCTTCTTCTCTCTTTTTCATTACCTTGCACCAACATGTTAGAGGTTTTATCTTCTTGTTGTTGAGATCCAAAATGTTAGAGGTTTTATCTTCTTGTTGTTGCTATTTAAACAAATTTATGTTAATATTTATTGATTTGTTGTTGAGACCTGTTATTGAGACTCTAAACTTTAGAGGTTTTATGTTATAGGTTTATTGATGTGTTATTGTTGAGACTCGTTATTGAGACCCTAAATTCTAGAGGTTTAATCTTATTGATGATGTTGTAGTTTTGTTAAGAGATTGTATTTTTAGTTGTTTAATGTAAGTTGTTTTTGAGTTGTTGTTGTTTAGTTGTTCGACTATCCAGAATTTTGAAAATCTATATGTTGTAGTTTAGTTGTTGTTATTGAGTTTGAATTTTAGATTGATATTAAATTTATATTTTTTGTGATTCTTTGTACAGCTCTCATCTTATTCCGTCGAGTTGATTTTATCTCATGCTCTTTTATCACTAAAATATTTCCAATACTTCTAGTTTTCATTCAACTTTCTTCCATAGTTGTTCATTTTTCAAAGCATGCATTCAAAAACAAATTACTAGAAAGGGAAGTGTTGACTAAATAACTTAAACATTAAAGAGACTTTAACCATAAAAGAACGTGAGATGAATGATGAGTTACAAGATATTCGAAAATCATTGATTAGTGTAAGTTATTCTTTATAACACAATTGTTCATATAATTATTTTCCTAACAAATTTTTGAAAAATTATATGTTCAATTAGAGTTTAGTGAAATAAGCAATACATATTAGATTTAATAAACTCAATCGTATTTTATCCGTCGATTTTATGTCAAAATCAAGGTGAAAAGTGTTATACTCATCGGTGAAATGTCAAAACTGAGGGAAAAAGATATTTTTACCATTTAAGAATTCCAAAAAGGATCTTCTAGGAATCGAACTCATGACCTTTACACGTTACTCGTCTGTTGTATTAAATTGAGAGATAAAGTGACACATTTTTCATAACGTCGTCCATTGTCTCGCTTGCAAAACCGAGATAAGGCCTCCTTTTCAACGGAGGTAAAAGGCATTTTTCATTGTAGTGTTAAAAAGTGTGGACCTAAAACCTCATTCCACCCCACAAAAAAGTGCTGAAAAATGGACATGCCTAATAGATTAGACCCGTTTTTTCACTCCTAAGTGTGAGTTTGCTTAGAACAGGTTGATTTGGTGGATCATTTGCTTGTTCAGTGGGACATTGTCTCGTCAATTTGTCTCCGTTGAAGGTAATGCATCTCTTACATCTCGTTTTCTTTTTCCTAAGTTAGATAAAGTGGTTGCCTCTTGTCATGCGAATAAGAGTCTAGAGCCATATGGGTTTAAGTTCTCTTTTCTAAAGAGGTTTTGGCTTCTTTTTAGGGAAGATTTATGGTGATGTTTAATCATTTTCACCTTTTTTCTTTCCTCCTCGTTGCTTCACCTTCACGTCCTATTTTCTCACTCTGATTCCTAAGGTGAATTCTCTCTCCCAGTTGGGAGATTTACAACTTATTTCCATGATGAGATTACTCTATAAGATGACACTCTTATCTCCCTGAATAAATCAGCCTTCCCTAAAGTGGTTGTTAATGAGCTTGTAGATCAGGATAAGAACACCAAAACGTTATGGACTTTGAAAAAATGTATGATTCACTTAGTTGAGAAATTTCCTAGGTGATCTAAGAATGCTCAGGTCAAGTGGATCGATATTAGCAAACAAAAATGCAAGGTTGTTAATCAATATGTTGACATGTGGAATGGAACATGTGGTGATAGTATGGATGACCAATTAAGAATTTGTGAAACCACGACTTTAAAGTGCATTGATAAATTTACAAGATCTGTGGTTGATGTGTTTGGAGAACAATACTTACAAAGTCCAAACACTGAAGATAATGAAGACATTGAACGCTTACTACACATAGGAGAGGCTTGTAACCTGCATAACTGGTGAAACTAGTTGAAAGCAATTGTATTCATCGACCCCAACTGTGGTTTAATTACATCAGACGATAGAATCCATCAAAAAAATATTTTGACATAAATATAGTGGAAATGGGAAGGAATGATCCGTGGTTACAAGCACGCACTTTCAGATATTATTCTCTCAGAAATATTTCTCAGTTTAACTATCGCAAAACGGGTATTTCATGTATAAATTTTCTCCTATCAGATTTTACCAGAAAGACAAATAAAGCTAATTCTACTTTGATTTATTCTGACTGTAACGTTGAATACCATAGACATCTATGACCCCAGGTGGAAAAACAGGATCAATAGCAGCTCTAACAGCAACTTTAGCCACCGCAGTAACATTGACAGGAGGTGTCAATAGAGGCCCAACAAGTGGGATCTGGGTCAATGCTCTAGTATGTTGAAAAACCTACATCACATAAGTAAATTGCAGTCAATAACAAATGACAGGGAAAACTTTTTCAGTCCCTGAAATAGGTTCAGTGATGTCAATTTATCAATGGAGAAAAATTATTACATCTGGACAGAAATAATGTATATGTAATACTAAAGAAACACACTGAATTACCATCTCCATCGGTGATCCAACTATGCCAAGAGGTATCTTCATACTCCCAACATTTCGAGTTCCATAAATAAATCCTGGCCTCAGAATTATTCCTGAAAAGGGAATGAAATAGTCCAATAATTAAGAACACAATACCCCACACCATGAAATCAGTTATTGGATTTATGTAAGATGGAAGAAAAAAACTCTTTGATATACTATGAAACATCTTTGCAAAAGTTCACATGGAGAAATTTTGGTAACAATGAACAGTGTACGTTAACTATAATCAAATAGGATAAGTTAGCAAATAACAAGCCAAAATCTAAAATTTAAACCAACTTCTGAAGTCTCGTGGTTTCAGTTTAGAGCTCCCCCATTAGCAATGTCAAGAAAAGCAGGAGACTGAATACTTACCTCCATATGGAAATCTTGTTAGAAGCTCCGTTTCAGCCGCTCTCTACATCAATTAAAGTACAATATATAATTCTTGAAATTAAAATGAAAAATATCTCAGACATCACATGTACTTCAATTATTACAGCCTAGAGATAAATTAAGAATATTAAACTAAAGAGTAAGAAGCAACTTTTATATATAATTCCAGAAAAAGTATAACAAAAAGATTAACAACAACGACAACAAAAAGAAAAGGGTCAGCCACAGAAATATGCATGCTTCTCTTCAAATGACCATAAAATGACTTGGGCCTGTCTCTAAATGATAGAAACCCAATCCATTTTGAAAAATGACCATGTCATTTGCTGGTTGAATCAGTAAGGGAGAGAGTAAAGTGAATCTTCTCGAATCAGGAAGCATAATGAACATCAGAATTCTGTTGTAAACGATCCAGAAAGGGGAACACGAGCATACACAGAGTGGTTAGATGAAGTTTGTTAAAAATAGGAGTTTATGGGAAGGTATTACAGTTTCTTCCTATTTCTAGCTATTATCTGGGGGCATGAATTACACAGTTCAGAAGTACTCTCCAGGGAATCTTTTTCTTAATTTCCTTTACAGTACAGGTCGTTGAAGGGTGTGAATTTGCAATTGTCAAAACTCTTGTGTTGATACTAGTATAGGCAATAAAGAAAGCAGACTACTTTTTACTCTATCATAACCGGTAAATGTTAAATGACTTATAACCAAGAATAGTCAGACAAACATTAATTTTTTTTATGAATCAACAAAACCTAGTACAACATTGTTAAAACTTCAGATTCAGAAGCAAGGATCTGCAATAAAAAATTTCAGCATTTTGCACAAAATTTTACTATAAAATTTCCTTCCTTTTTCTTGTAACGAATCAACAAAACCTTACAACAATTTTAAGACTTCAAGTTCAGAGACAAGGATCTGCAATAGGAAAAATTCAGCACTTTGCACCAAGTTTTACTAAAACATCTCCTAGCAAATGGTGACTTGTTGCACAAAAATAGCTACAATAAAGAGTTGAAAATATTACCTTTCCTTCATAATACCCCTGCAGCAAGTAATTTACTACACCAAAGTCGGCAGCAGAGATATAGACAAACCTTTTAATACCTGTACGACCAAAAGCAAATGTTTCAACAATCAGTAATAGTACTCTAGAAGAAGCAAAACTAATTCTCCAAGGTCAGCATTGCTAAGCAATTCTTTTATGTAACAAGGCAGACAATTGTAGCAGCCACCTAAGAAATTCTCTCCCCTGCCCCACATTGACAATACCCTCCCTCTTTTCCCCCATTACTTACTCTTTCAGTATTTTTACATAACTGATAATTTATTTCTTAAAATTGGTACACTCTATGTGTCAATCATTACTGGTAAGAGATATGGCTGTCTTAGTTCAGGGACACAAAGCACTGAATTCTTTTTTTCTTTTCTTTTCATTCTAAATTATTCAAATAATATGTTCCATATTTGTATTTCTATTGTTAATACTACCTCATGCATGCATCTAGAAAAAGGTGGCTGGAAATCTCTCTTAGCTAAGAGACTTTGAGATTGTTGCTGCTGCTAGCTCTCGGACTGGAACAGCGACATGTGTAAGGGGATATGGTGTTGTGTGTTGACTCTGGTACATAATAATCCAAAAAATAAATTGGCCCTTCTTCTATTTAAAATTTGGCAACCATGTTGTATTCTTATATAATTTTGGAATATAGAATGTTGCAGTAAGCAAGTTTTTTATGATAAACACTTATTGTACAAATCTGTATTTTGACTGCAATAAAGTGGACTAAACAGTTAACTACTGCTCCCCGCATCTAGTATAAGAAAGAACTTACAGTACAATACTACTAGGTATCAAGGTTTTCTTATGAAACCTCAAAGATTAATACTGACATACACATTTCAACTTTTTTTAATCTTTAAGGGGGTTTATACACCAATGTATTTTTTCAATTTTTTTAAGCCAATAGCATAATCAGACCACGTAGTTTACCCCATCTAGTAGGGAAAGTCCTCACTGACACTGATGTTTTTGTAAGCATGAGTGATAGATGAGCACATATACTGCCCCTGCCTCAAAGAATAAGGTAGGAACTGAAACAGTGAATTGCAAATAAGAAACGTGCAAATTCATTATTTACCTTGATCTGAAGCTGCTCTAATTGCATTGATGTTAGCAGTCCCATTAATTTTGTACATGGTTGCGTTGGAGCCAAAACCACCAACACATGAGATCTTATAAAAGAAACACAATCAGCTCAAAGGACTAGTCATTTACAATACCAAAAATAAACATTTAAACATTCAAAGGACTAGTCATTTACAATACCAAAAATCAACATTTAAACATACTTGTGTATCCTACAGCAACAAAATTTGGATATATTAGATCAGTTAGTGGTCTGTGTTTACTACAATTCTTTTTCAACCCCAAAATCATCTCCCATTCAATCACAAACATTTGATCCTATTTTCCATTTCATTATCTTAGCATCATTCTTTAGTTCTTAATTTTCCTCCCCACATGTTTAGACTTTCAACCAAATTTTATCATCATTTTCGTCAACATTAACCAACTTCACTAGTGTAAGAGGCCAGGGCTTCAACAAGCCTTATATATTGTGTCAGTGACCTATTTACACCTCAACCAATCCTACTCCCACCATATGAATTATAAGCAAATCTTAACAACAACTCTCCTATTTAATGATTCTATCTCTAAAATACCCCTCATTTAATTTAGTTTTTTTATATTTTTAATGACCCAGTTATAAGTCATGAATGGTAAATTTTGGCAATACTTAATTTTTTATGGGGATTCCATTGATTAAATTTGAACAACTACCATTCTTGCTATGTGTATTTTAATTCATTTTTTCATATAATTCATTCTGGAGGGAGTGTGTTACAATACCCATTATAACAATTGAATATCCTATCACCCAAAGGAACAAAATAAAATGGTAAACCTGCTACCTTGATGCACAAACAATGAACTATATTGTTATAGAAAACTTAATCAAAGCACGGGGGGATCCTCACCAAAAACGATGGTTAAACCAAAAGCAGCAGCTTGTATTTGCAAAGAAACATAAAATAAGCAAATATCACTCTGGCTAAAGGCTACCTACTTACTTGCCAAATATTTACTGGGCATTTTAACAAGGTAAGGGAAAACTTACAACAGTAGTAACCCCATTCAGAGCTTCTTTCAATGACTCAGGGGAAAGGAGATTCCCTAATTATGTAAAGACAATTTAAATATATTAGGGAATTGTGTTCCACAAAGATATTTTCTGCAAGGAAATGCAATGAAAAAGAAAAAACAAACCTTTAAACCATATGACATTGCTAGCCCAGGAGTCGTGAATGGATGACCTGCCAGACCTGGAAGTAAAAGAGAAAGAAAGGCAAGGAGGATAAATTACATGAATAAAGTGCTAAATAATAAATACGAAAACAAATATATGGCTTACATTTGCAAAACATAATGCAAATAAAACATGCCACTGATTTCAGCTACACATGACTAACCGATTTCATAAATACCCAAAAGGGAATAATTAAGTATTATAAAACATAGAGCATAATGGTGTAAATCAAAGCACCATCCATACCTGCTAATACTCGCAACAGGCACACCACGATTTAAGGCTTCTCTACAAACATGAGATCCAACAAATCCATTGCCTCCCAACACAAGCAACTTCAAAAACACCCAAAACATACACACATAATTTCTGTATTAGTAAAGTCATATACACACAGAAACCAACCAACAAAATCCAAATACAGACACAACTGTAAACTACCTTCTCTGTTGGGGGTTGAGGTGGTGGCACATTTACAGTCCCAGTTTCCTCAACTTTAAAAGGCTCATCAATCTTCGTAGAGTCCGTAGAGAAAGTTCTCCCGTTAATTGACACAGCAAATGCACTTCAAGGTAAGAAAATTGAACACACGATTTAACAATATCTAGGCATACTTCAATATATAGATAAAAAAGAGTAGCGTGCAATGTACCGAATAGGAATGTAAACCCCAACCTAACCCTAACAAGGAGATATTGAAACGATCACAGAACAAGAAACTGTGACAATAGTTTAGAAAAGGTTGAGAAACTTACTTGAGTTTGGAAATGGAGGATGGAGTGGAATGGATCAAGCGCGAGAAGATTGTCTTCATTTGATGATTGAATGGAATTCAGATTTTCTGTGTCGTGTTTCGTGATTTTCGTAACGAATCTTTGAGAATCAAATTCTGGGGTGTTGGGTATGTAAGTATGGGCAAGGAGGGCGAAAAGGATACACATGGCAAGACTACTTGCTCACAGCTCATTCACCATATGTGGCTTCATTCCAACCTCAACATTTTTAATTTTGACAAGAAAAAAAATGTAAAATCTAAAATATTTTTATATTATCAATCAAATGAGATACATGGAATTTTTTTTTGGAATAATCATGTATTAAAAAAATTTCGCAAATAACTATGTTTCAGATGACTCCCCAAAAGAGGAGTCATCTCACTTGGCGCCTACACATACTTTTTAAGGGGAGGCGCCATCTCACTTGGCGCCTAGGTGCTTAGGACTTGCCCTAAGCCAAGTGAGATGGCGCCTTAGTGCATTTGCTAGGGTAATTTTTGCATTTTTTTTCAATGCGGTGTGTTACGTATTCGATATAGGATCAACAAAATAGATTTTTTATTTACAAAATATGATTACACACATAAGTATTACATAAAAAACAGATTAATCAGTGGTCCCCCAGAATCCGGTAATGACCCTCGGTTCCATATCCACGTCCTCGCCTTTTCTGTGCTGGGTTTCGTCGCGTTTCCTGCTGTGGCGGGGTCGGTGGCCCAGCGAAGTCAATGCGTTCCGGATCCATGAAATCAGTCAGATCTCCATATCTAGAAGATCCGCTTTGGTACAGTCGGTTACCCATACCCTCAAAGTTTGGTCGTGTTGGCGGTGGGTGGGGTTCCATGGTTGGTCTGTAGCATTGGTCGTCTGAGTACGGGGGTAGAAAGGAAATGGATCTTGGGGTGTTTGGTATTGAGGATGTTGGGTGGTTTGGTGATATTGTGGTTGATGGTAAGTTGGGTCGGTTGGTTTATAATCTTCCGATATTCCCAGATCAGGGCTAAGGTTGGATGTTGAGGGGCCCATATTAGGATATGCAGAAGACTGAAATTGTGTGTGGGGTATGCGGGTGTGTTAGTATTGTGATTGAAATTGCGGTTGGATGTGAGGCATATGGGGGTATTGGTACTGAGGTGGTGATTGTGGTTGGTTGTGGGGCATGTGGGTGTAATTGTATTGTGGTGGCAACTGTGGTTGCGTGTTTGTGGTTCTATTTCGTCTGGGGGTTGGTGGGAGGTTGATGTGTGTTGGGTTTGTTGTTGAGGAAATGAGGGTTGTGCCCATTGTGTTCGTGGGTCAACCAAATACCTTGGATGAGACACGTGCATTTCAGGGTTACTAACCGATCTGTACCAAGATAAATATTGATCTGTGTGTCGCATATTACCATGATTGAGGAAAATTAGGAATTGCAAGACATGTCGGTGACGCCTCTGCCACATCTTACACCATTCTGGAGCAAAGTCTTTCCAGTTGGTAAGACTCCATTGGGCGTCGACCCTTTTGAGATGCCACGGGGACAAACAAGTCGGATCGCTGGGTATCTCTTGATGCATTCCAAACTGCATCTTCACACGGTCGCTGTGGTGCATCTCCACAATATTGAACCGTATGATTGCAGTCTTGGCGCTCCAAATTGCTGCATCCCCGGGGTTTGGTTCATGGCCCAAACCCAAATATGGTCTCCAGACAAACTGCGCATAAAATTAAATCAGGTTAATGAAAACGTAATATATAAATAATTTAAAAGTAGAAAAATTGAAAGGTACGACGTACATCATCCAAGCCAAGGTGATCCAATAGATTGTAGTATAATACGACATTGAATCTTGGATTCTTGCCGTAATCCATACCCCTCACGCAATACCTAAAGGAAATGAAAAATATTTTATTTTTATCATATATTTGGTGAAGAGATGAATAGTAATAAATGATATAACTTGATGACTTACTTTGTTGCGTACGGGAAAACGAATGTATTGTTGTTGACAGGATTTAGGGACTCCATCCTCCACCAACCCTAGGCTTGAAGTAAAAAAGTGCATCCATAAAATATATATTTTTCCTTGATTGCATTTTTACACAAGGAACTCTATAGGTGGGCTAAAACAGCAGAACTCTATAGTTTTTTCGAAGTCTCTAAGTAAATTTAAATACATAAAATTTACACTATTTCCCGTACTTTCGGGAAATAAAAAGGTTCCAAATAGTATCATTATATAAGTTCTAGCTTTTATTACCTTGGCTAGCTCGGAGGAATTTTCGTTTAATTCCAAAATCGCATAATGATTTTTAAGCTCAATTAGTAGTATACCCTGACCTCTCGCACCACCACCTTCAACCATATCCCTGCCCAACAATTCTTCACATAGAGAATTGGGTTGTTGAACCGACCCGTTAACGGTCTTACCGTTGACAGGAAGACCCAGTAACATGTACACGTCCTCTAGCGTGACGGTACATTCACCTATTGGTAGGTGAAATGTATGGGTCTCTGGTCTCCACCTTTCCAACATTGCAAGTATGAACTTTGAATCAATTGTGCAGTTGGAGATCTTTATAATGTGTCTGAAACCTGCGTATTCCAGATATGGTACGATTAATGGATCGAGAGCAAGGTAGTTGTGAGACCGAATTCTGAATCTTTTGGTATCCTGAGTTAATAATGTAAAAGGTGTAAGAGTAAGTAAGATGAACAAAGCATTACCAGAAGTATGAAAAATGTATAACTATAAAAGAAACTTACAAATGCTGCAATATTGTCCCTTGTGCCTCTGTGAGAATCGCCTATTGTAAGAAGAGCCATTGTTGTAAATGCCTGAGATTATGAAAGAGTGTGAAATTGTAAGAGATTATGAAAGAGTTTATAGCAGAGAGTGAGACAATTGTGGGTGCGAGAGAAGTATGTTATGCTCTGTATTTATAGGCAAAAAAATTTCATATAGTAAGTGAGGTGGTAGGTGGGTGCATGCATGCATGATAAGTGTCACTCTTGCAGTGTAGGTGCAGGCTACGTGGCAGGCTTGGAGAAGGCATCTCTGCATGCATGTAACACGATTGGACATGAAGGGATGCGCCATTGAACTTGGTGAAACTATACAAAAATGAAAGGTGTCGCCATCCCCATTGGCGAATAAGAGGTGGCATGGGTTGCAGAGTAGGTGCAGGCTAGGTGACAGCCTTTGAGAAGGCATCTTTGAATGCATGTAACACTATTGGACATGATGGGAGGAATCTTATAGGTTACAGTGTGGGTGCAGAGTAGGTGCAGGCTATGTGACAGCCTTGGAGAAGGCATCTCTGAATGCATGTAACACTATTGGACGTGATGGGAGGAGCCTTAGAGGTTACAATGTAAGTGCAGGCTACGTAGCAGGCTTGGAGAAGGCATCTCTGCATGCATGTAACACGATTGGACATGAAGGGAGGCACCATTGGACTTGGCGAAACTGTACAAAAATGAAAGGTGTCGCCATCCCCATTGGTGAATAAGAGGTGGCATGGGTTGCAGAGTAGACGCAGGTTAGGTGACAGCCTTGGAGAAGGCATCTCTGAATGCATGTAACACTATTGGACATGATGGGAGGAGCCTTAGAGGTTACAATGTAGGTGCAGAGTAGGCGCGGGCTAGGTGACAACCTTGGAGAAGGCATCTCTGAATGCATGTAACATTATTGGATATGATGGGAGGAGCCTTAGAGGTTACAGTGTAGGTGCAGAGTAGGCGCAGACTAGGTGGCAGCCTTGGAGAAGGCATCTCTGCATGCATGTAACACGATTGGACATGAAGGGAGGCGCCATTGGACTTGGCGAAAGAGTACAAAAATGAAAGGTGTCACCATTCCCATTGGCGAATAAGAGGTGGCATGGGTTGCAGAGTAGGCGCAAACTAGGTGATAGCCTTGGAGAAGGCATCTCTAAATGCATGTAACACTATTGGACATGATGGGAGGAGCCTTAGAGGTTACAGTGTAGGTGTAGAGTAGGCGCATGCTAGGTGACAGCCTTGGAGAAGGTATCTCTGAATGCATGTAACACTATTGGACGTGATGGGAGGAGCCTTAGAGGTTACAGTGTAGGTGCAGAGTAGGCGCAGGCTAGGTGGCAGCCTTGGAGAAGGCATATCTGCATGCATGTAACACGATTGGACATGAAGGGAGGCGCCATTGGACTTGGCGAAAGAGTACAAAAATGAAAGGTGTCGCCATCCCCATTGGCGAATAAGAGGTGGCATGGGTTGCAGAGTAGGCGAGGCTAGGTGACAACCTTGGAGAAGGCATCCCTGAATGCATGTAACACTATTGGACGTGATGGGAGGAGCCTTAGAGGTTACAACCTTGGTTAATTCAAATTCAGTATGACCTATTTAGTCTTACAATTATCAAAACACTGATTCACTTAATCTCTCAAACACTATAACATTCAAAAATTCCTGCAAATAACTCATAAACTTCAAACCTTCCAACCTTCAAACAGTCATACGCAATGGCCTCTACACCCCAATATGTCATCAGTGCATATTTCAACAGTGAGACATACATTTGTCTCACCTCTGGGTTTTTGTTTAGAGACACAAACAACATCTAATTTTGTTTAAACAGGAAAGCCAATTTCTTGTACTTCAAAAAACGATTGGAGGCCAAACTGGACGAGGCCCGGTGACACAAATATTTTATCAGAATCCGGTTTTTTTTGTAACAACCAAATAATATTTTATAAGGTTGAGGTTCAAGATGACAAGAATCTTCAGAATATGTTTTCCAGTCATGAGTATTCTGGGTACGACTCTATTGAGTTGTACATTATGCTGCGAGAGCCTCATGTGTCACAAGTGGTTGATCCTTTAGAGACCGAACAAGCAGAAGTAGGTGCAGTTGATGAAGAAGAAGAAGATGACAAGTTGGAGTTTGACGAAATGGTCAATGATGATTCCGAAGACGATGGGATACCTGGTATTCTTGAAAACGAGATCTACACATCACCTCCGCACATGACAAACTTCAACATGGGCGGAGATAAATCGTCTTCTGATTTATTT